TAATCGGGCTAGAGTGCTTGATTTTAACTTAGCCTTAAATGTATACATTTAGCCTCATTTAAACTCATCAGCACAGATGAGGATGGGCAGAGGTGCCGAGCCAGGCGGTCATGCCGCAGACCAACCTGACAGGAGGTGTCCATGGTAACGACGCACGGACCACCACCAATCCGGTGCTTGGAACAAGAGGGGACGTGGTCACCATGGCACCTCCACCAAACACAACCAAGCACCTCCCCCCATCTGTCACCTTGCGTACTTGCCTTCAAGCCAACTGACCAGCGAATCTTGCTAGTGTCTCCGACGGGGTGCGAATGTACAGCTGGAATGCATTGCTTGACCAACGCCCTAACGTTTGTATAACGTGGTCTGGTATCCCATTGCGGGCTGCCACAGTCGCTGCACCAATCCGAAAACTATGGCTGGAAAACGCACCATCTATACCTGCCGCACCCATGATTCGAGACAGCCAGTCGGACAACAACTGCCGGGTTAATGGTTGACCAGACTGCAGCAGAAACAAGGGGCCCTGTCCGTCCCCTCGTATGGACAAATATCTCAGCATGGCCTCAACTGCACAAAGTGATGAATTGCCCCTCCCGATGTGAATATGAGTTCCTTGACGAAACGGATCAGTCTTAGAGGCTTTGATAAACACTCTCAAACAAGATGGATTCCTATGGTTGTSTACTGATATGTCTGATACCTGGAGGTGCCTATCAGGTACAAAGTCACTCAGGGAAGGAACAGTAAATTCTGATGACCTAAGAAAACCGAAATAGGCCAATGTACAMGCAGACCAGAACATACAATGATCGGCCAGATCTAAGTTCAGGGATTGACGGATGACCATCATCAAATGATCWGTWACTGGGAGACGTTGCCTACGAGCAACACCACAAGACCGTTTCACCCCCCTCACTACCCTCTGGAGGCGTAGGCACCCAAGGAGTGGGTCAGGGAATCCTTCCTCAATGTGGAGAGCACGTACTGCAGACAGGTAAACACTTATTGTTGCAGGTGAGACTGAGCTGGAGAGATAGGTGACAAATAAGCATAGAGTCCACTCATCAGTAGGACACGGGGAGCCTGTGGCATGAATCTTCCCAGCTTGGTGGCAGAACTCCATAAACCTGCGCTGACCTGACAAGTACGACTTCCGAGTAGAAGCTGCAATCCCCTCCCTCATGAATTCCCTACATCGTGATTCTAAGGATGGTTGCACAGCTGATCCAAGAGGGCCTGAGGAAGCACCACTGGTTGCGCATGCGCCTGAGGACATAGATGCCAAAATTCCCGCCACTGAAACCGAGAAAGAGCGTCAGCAACAACATTGTGAACTCCTGGGATATGATGGGATGAAAAGGAAAAATTATATTTTGCTGCTGACATCAGGAGGTGCCGCACCAGGTGCATAATACCTGGAACCTTAGATGTCCGCGAATTTAAGATGGCAACCACCGCTTCGTTGTCCGACACRAATTGCACGTGGCCAYGGCTCCATTGGGGGCCCCAGACTGCCCCGGCTAGCGCCACTGGGAARAACTCCTTATAGGCAATAGAGAAGTCCCTCTGTTGAGGGAACCAATACCCATTAAACCACTCATTGCCCCAAAAGGCTCCATAGCCAATGGCCCCTGATGCGTCTGAGGTCACCTGGTAGTCTGGGGATGGAGACATTCCAGGAAATAGCCAAAACTGTACACCATTCCACTCAGAGACGAAGCGAACCCACCACGCGAGGTCCTCATGGAATTCCTTATTAAGACGGATAGGGTGGTTGTCGCGGCGGAAGCACTTTAGCAAGTCAATCATACGGCGGATAAAAGACCGGCCTGGCCACACAACCTTGGCAGCRTGATGGAGATGGCCAATCAGAGATTCCAACTGACGTCTATTACACCAACTCCTCTGTTCCCATGAATGTAACAAGTCTTTCAAGGCAGCCAGCTTCTCAGGCGGTAATTGGGCTATCTGACGCYGAGAATCAAGGGTAATACCCAGGATTGTTAACTTCGTGCAAGGGCCTTCGCATTTGCCAGGGTGGAGTGGGAGGCCCAACTGGCTACACACTGTTAAGGCCGTGGCAAGGTCCTGATGACAGATAGTTGACCCCGGCGGGCCCATCAAAATAAAATCATCCAAGTAGTGGGCCAAGTTGTCCACACGATAGTTGTTGTGCAAGATCCACTCAACCATGTCCGCAACGGAGTTAAAAATATAGGGGGCTGAGCTAAGCCCAAAGGGGAGTACGAGGTCAACATAGTATTTCCCTTCCCACTTCAAACCCAGGAGAAAACGATCTGATGGATGAACTKGGATATTGCGATATGCAGCCTCTACATCGAATTTTGCCATCAGGGATCCCCTCCCTAGGTTAGCTACCTTTAGGATGATTTCATCGATCCTCACATATTGCATGGAAAATAGCTCACTGTCAATCCCTTCATTCACACTAAATCCCTTAGGGGCAGACAAATCCACAATTAGCCTCCATTTCCCCGGTTGACCACTTTTAGGGATTACCCCAAAGCTGCTGATGTGAAGGTTTTCCAACGGGGGGAACAGAAAGGGACCTGCCACCCTTCCTCGTTGAATCTCATTCCCCAGATAGTCATTAATCACGTGTGGGAATTGTAACGCAGACGGTTTGTTCCTTGTGGCCGATTTGAGTTTGTGCTGTCCATCGAAACCCAATTTGAACCCTCCCCTTAGGCCATCCACGACATAGCTGACTTGGGCTTGGTCAGGGTGATTCACCAATTCTCTAGCAAAGCAGTTGGGACATAAGGGCGTGACCTCCCAAACCTCTGGGAACACTGGTGAAGCTGCAAGAGAAAACAAAGGGGGGGGGCCCGGGTGACTACCCTACTACATAAACCAAAGCATACAAGGGACAATTGACGTACGGTTTTTAATACGGACCATTAAGCTAGAGAGGCAACAAGGCTGCACGCTACTAGTTCTTCTAGTCATGTACAACAAACCTAACCGAGCTTATCCTATAGAATTACACAAGGACCAAGAAACGGTCGGTGGACTAAAATTGTCTACTCAAAGTACAAAGTACCCAATCGTAGAGGCAACAACAGAACAGGCTTATAAAAGTGAGAATTGTTTCAAACGTTAGCCGCAATTAAAWGTMCCACTGAGAAACTRCAATAACTTCTCGAGTCCTAGAGYCTAGCGCTTACGGTTCTTGMCAGGCGAAACAGAACGAGCACTAMRCTTGCGAGACGTACACGCKGAGCTTCGGTGATCCCCTAGACACCGTCCACATCGATGAGCATATTTGCACATAGCATACAAAGCCGTACACCTTCCGTTGTTCCATGACCGGCAAATGACATCCGAGTTGGGCGAGCCCGATGCTTCTTYTGAGTCGTTCMGCGYTGGTCGAGTTCCCGCCCCGGCTGTGTGAAAACTATATAGTTGGACGTTAATGTCTGACCAATCCGTCAGCCGCATGGCAGCCGCGTTCTGACGAAAATCCTGGTCATATTTGAGCGCAGTGGCCGAGCCAAATTGTCGCGACGTGCGGAGAATTAATAACTTATACAGAGTTAAGTCCCTCCAGCGATGGGTAAAGGTTGAAGCCAAAATCAGCGTGTACACMGTAAACGCCTCGACCCACGCTGGCATGTCTTCGATCTTGCGTTTTGGGCGTTTGTTAGMCRTGACTACCAAACGGCCATCAAAGAGCAATTGGGGTTCCGCTTGTGACTGTATAAGATTGGCAGACAGAAGCTCGGCAAGGTCAACGTAACGGCCCGAAGTTATCTGAGCCACCAACTTYGGATGGACAGGCGAGAAACCAGGCCCGACTACGAAATACTGTTCTAAAGACGGCAAATTTACTGACAGCGARCTCGGTAGAGACGAAGRAATCGGCGTAATACTCGAGAATGACGAAGTCGGCATAGTAAACGCATTGATAAAAGAAGGGGCAAACATACCTGACGATGAACCTCCYGCGCCCACAGATGAATTTGGGCCAAGCGAAGCAGAAGATGCAGTCGCCAAATTGCTCGTGGACGGTTGACCCAACGCCAAAGGCCTCGAYGATACGCCTGTTACTGCACCAGGGAGAGCYTGAACGGCTGCCAAAGCGGCTTGCTGAGCCGCCGCTTGAACYGCTGCCAGTATTTGTGGGGATAGAGTCGCTGACGACGAAGCWGAGACTGAAGTACTCGCCGACGAAGTGCTGGCCACGCCACTCRACGACGAAGCAAGCGAAGAAGGACTCGTAGATGACACTACCACGTTGGCCGACGACCCAGAGTCGTGAAAGAAGGACGAGGACATACTATTATTTGTTGAGCGAGACATGTCCAAGTTTAAGATACACGCGAGGTAGGGAATAATCGTTGAAGCAAAACCAAATTTTCACGCACACGCTTCGATGAATAGCAAGCAAGCAAGCAAGYAGCAACACCACGTGGCCCTGCAAGCAATT